ACACTCCCCCCTTGATATCCCATGTCCCATCAGTTTTAGGAGAATCTCAGAATAGTTCATCTTCAGGGCGATGTGACCTTGGATACCTGGCCAAGACGGGTGTAGAGGTTGTCGCTGCAGATGGTGTGAGCTTCTCCATCCCTTCTAGCTCCCAAACAGTTGCAGCAACAACAAAGCGAAAACACGCAGACTATGTAGCCTGCGATGCTTCTCTCCTCCCTTCTAGAATGGCAGCATTCTGATGGAGACCTGACATGCTGCCCCTCCTAGAAAAAGGAGATCCACACCTGAAAAACAAGGGGAAATTATTATGAATAATACTGTTATTTTATTTGCATTGAACTATATGACAGCCAGGAATCAAACCATTCATGCAATGAGATGTATTTAAAAAAAGAAACAAGGGGGAAAGAAGAGGGAATAAAAGAGTGTAATAGTTACTTGGGTTTATTGTCTGTTTGGTTCCTAAGTCAGAAGAAGCTTCCCTGGGAAAGGGCATGCTCAATGCCAAGAAGTAATTGGGTGAGCCTCTGGCTGGGGGTGGGGCAATCCAGGGCGTGTCCACTGTGGAAGAACCAGCAGTTTAAAACAGCCTAGAGGATAACTTTGCTGAAAATTCCATGTGGGTAGAGAAGTGGGAAACTGCCTTGTTCTCCAGCGCCATGGTAACCACTCTTACCTTGGCTTCTTCTGTGGGGAGGTCCTCTCCGAACTGTTGCATGAAATTCCAGACATGGACCAGGAAAAATCCTTGGTCCTTTGACTCCCCACCAAATTTCACACCATGCGGAGGAACTTTTGCCATCCAGCTTCTGCAGGGGGGCTCCCCCTTTTGGAAGGGTTCTCGCAGCTGCTGCTGCTGGTGCCGGGGCTTCTCCATCCTGATAAGCTCCACTGTCTGCCCCCAGGGCCCCCCTTGGGCGGAACAGGGCTTCTGCAGTTCTCTAGGTCTGGGAGATCAGCTTCTCTTTCGGGACCGCTCTCACATAAGCGTCACCTCTCCCAAGCCTCTTCAAAGAGTTTCATGCCCTGGGACATCATAAGGTTCTCCTCATCGGTGTCCTGCCAAGCAGCTGCCGGCCACCGATATCGTCTTGTGGTAACACCAGCCGGAATTTCCTCAGGTCATCCTTCTGTCCCACTCCCAATGACCACCTGGGGCGCACGGATCGTTCCTCCAAATTCAGATCCACCATCCGCTCCATCTTCAAGGGACACGAAGATGCAGCTGCCCCCATGTAATCCTTCTGGTCGCTGCCTGGGTAGGACATTCTTTCGAAGGTTTTGGTTTTCTTTACACTCCCCTCGGAAGGTGTTAGCTCCGGGATGAGTGCGGAAGTGAGATCTTGCTAAATGTCAAGCCGGCCTCCCTCAGCAACCAATTAAGAAACCACATAACTCCATTTCGCAGAATTAAGAGTATTTTTACTGGTTTTGAAAAGATAGCAGCTAAGCAAAGCAAGATCTGAGGCAAAAGTGCGCGAAACCATAGATATCAATATGTGATCCAACCCCCCCCCCCCTGGTAACCCCATCCCATAGTCCAATCTAAAAAATCCCTCAGGTGTCATGAGAGGCCCATCTTCTAAAAGCATCATCAGGGTAGAATGCAGGACAGTTGGCCTTGGTGGGCCCAATCACTATCTCCAGCATGCGCAGTAGAAGGTGAGAAACTCCCTTTACACAATCTCTCCTGTAATTTAAACTTCTTTTCCCAAATACTAGGCCTCCCCCACTCCCTGTTTCAATGGCAGCCGAAAGCAAGTAGCAAGACAGAGGCTGACAGTCCCCTTGCTTGTCTATCGAGACACACTGTGATACACTTCAGTGTTTCTCCCTGTAGGGGACATCGGTAGTCCTGGCCATCCCCCTTAATCATCCTGACATACCAATGGTTGGAGCTCCTTCTCTTCC